GTTTGAACAGGTATTGAATTCATAACCTATAATAAGCTGAACACATTTAACGGTAGCTAATGTCAATGTAGCAAACAGAGACAGCAGATTTCATTTTTATAAATGAATACAGGCGCAACACATTAAAAATAAAAGAGCTGCGAGGCGGCCCACCTCCTTGGAAGCCCTGCCGTTATCCTGAGATGCTGAGCCCTGTTGGACTCTCTGCAGGCTCAGCTTGCTGTCAGGGTTCCGAAGACGTGTCACCATGCGCGTGGATGTCGGCGTGGGCGTCTGCGAGACCCGGTCCACACCCATCCCTTCAGCCAACCCGTTTGAGTCATCCTGGCCCTCGTCTGTCACAAAGAAAGAAGAACTCTCAAGCATTTGGCTCCATGAGTTAAGATTTCTGACCAGAAGGTTATTGGTTCTAATCCGGCAGTCAGCAGAATAGTGATGTTAGTACTGGGCCCTAGAACAATGCCCTTAGCCCCAAAATAACAGGTAACCCTGTACCGCGACCAACAGCTTTGCTCTCACCAGTATCTGAGCAAGACGTGACATGTGGAAACCAAAGAATTCCTATTTACTTGTCCAAACACCAAACATATTTCTTATCATAACCTCGGACAGATCAAGGACAAAAATAAAAGAAAAACATTTCCTTGAGTCCATCTGTTAGTAGAAAGCATAGTTTACTGTAACACCAGCCCCAATCTACGGTCTTATCTGCTTTGTTACCTGGAACCTCATTTCTGTTTAATTAAACAATAAGATAAGATGGGGGAGTTTTCATGTTTCCCTGGAGAACAATTCAGGTGATACGTCAGGTCACCTTTTAAGGTTTTTCACGACCTGTGCATAGGTCTGAGCTGAAGGCGGTTAGAAACACTACACTAGGCTCCACAGGGCGAGTCTGCATACCCATATCATCCTGGCCAATGGCAGCGTAGTGGGACAGCTTCCCCTCACTGTTCTGTCCACTGACACTGGCCGCTGAGGACTGGCTGTCACTGGTATTCTCATCTGCGGTCTGGGGACCCTGGGGTGCGCATGAGGAGATGGTGGTCTTCTCACTGGAAGGATCCAACTCCAGGGCTTTCTCTGGGGATGCAGGGGAGGGAAACAGAATGGGGGGGGGGGGGTTACCACCTCCACTTCAATAACAGACTTGGGATCTAGGTTTTTATGTACAAAACAGCTACAACCTTTTCCATAACTTATCACACACAAAATGTGCGCGTAAATACTACAAGGCTGTCAAATCTGTAGGAAAAACACCCCCAAAACATGCATTTGCCTGTATATCTCTGTAAAAAAAAGCCACCATTTCACTGTATTCTGTACCAATCATTGCATCAACAAATGGTTTAGTCTGGGTGAACTTGTATTCTAGAGATGTCTCATGCCTGATTGGGTAATGTGGACATTTTTTGTCAGATTTTTGACGTTATCTTTTGTCCCTCTATGAAGGGGGCATATGAGTCATATCAAGAGCTTCCAAGAGCGGCCGCTTCCTTATTGATGAGATACGAGCAACACGTTGACCTTTCATGAAACTCAAAACGCTTTTCATCACAATCGGCCATGAACGACAAACTCTAATCTAATGTTTTCTCCCCTTTTATAAACCATTTTGATCACGGGCCAATCGATCAATGCAGCCTCAAAGAACATTATCACCAAAATTGTACAATTCCACTGTTCCAACTAGGGCTGCACATCATCATATCGTGATGTAATCTCAATTATATGGCGCATGCGCAATAATCACCAGGACTCTTCGAAAGACGTTGTGGCTGCTGATCTCCCCCTTTCTTCACCACCACTTCAGCGCTTATTGCTTCCATGATTTACCAAAACAGTAGCATGTGGCGTGCTCCCCTAACCAAATTTAATAAAGATAAGGATACGTCGAATTTATCCAAATTACTAACTTATGGGCATCACAATATGCATCTCATTAATATTTTAGACGTACTACTAAACTGCTTACCAAATTGTGGCCTAAGAAAACACCCGTATAGTAGCGAAAAGTGTCCGGAAGAATGTTTACACCCCTCATCTAAAGCCCTGGTGATTATTGCGCATGCTGCATATAATCACGATGCGATATCGTGCAGCATTAGTTCCCAGGGAGATGAATGTTTCACCTGGGAATGAAGCTCTTGTAGACAGATGTCATTACAGAGGTAGGGGGGGGGTTTCCCTGCGTCTCTACACACCCAGTTCCTTTGTACCTGCGGACTCCTGCTTGATCCCTGTACTGGTCACCGCCCCTTCGGCACCTTCTCCAGCTGCTGCAGTAGATGCACAAGGTTTTGATCCATCTGAGCTTCTACTGCTCTCTTCTCCACAAGTGAGCGCATCTGCCCAAAATGAACATGGACACATACTTCAGGACAGGGAGTATTATGGTATTTTGTCTCCTTGAACAACAAACAAGCCTTTGTACTGAGAGATAAGGCCAAAATAACTATTTCAACTGTATGCCGTCGTTCGACAGAATGGACACCTTCACATAGGAAACTAAGCAAATCAAAATATTCCTCCCAACCCATATCTTCCATCTCCTCCTTGGTTGATTGGTCCTTGGCGATCTTTGGCTCGTCCCCCTCAGATGAGGAATGATCATTGATTGGCTCCTCATTGCCTTTGCCTGCCTCTGGTTGGCTGTCAGGTCTCGACTCCAGCCCTTTGACCTTGTCCACCTCCGCCCCGTGCCTGGTCTTCAACCGTTCCAGTACCTCCTCTGGAAGGAGACACAGTCGACTCAAGGCTTGAGGCCTGCTCTGAACCAGCACTCAGACACAGCCCTGACAAAGCAGCATTTAACTCATCAGAATCTGGGCCGACCAATAAGAAAACAGAATCACTGTCATGGCAGCAGTTTTCTGGCTAATTAAGGAATTTGGCGATGCCTGCTTTTTGTTAACCGGCTCATGCTTTCAATCAAAAGGAGACCTGGATATTTTCCTGGAGATTTTCAGACTTGGCACCTCACTCAAGGGTACAACAGCAAAGCCTCGCAGGAATCCGCACCAGCCCTGCTATCTACTCCCACGATTTACCGAGAATCTGCCCCTGTCCCACTGCCAGGCCTCGTACCATTAGCAGCGGCCAGGTAGGAGGGGGTGCTGCCCCGGGCTTTTTCCGTGAGCTCCTCTGTGATCTCCATATGGGCGTGCACCTCCTCCCACAGCTCCTCCAGGGTGTGCCACAGCTCCTTCTCCCAATGATCTTTGTCCAGACACGCAACCAGCTCAGAGAGCTGACGCTTAGTGCTGTAGTACCAGGTCCTCTTCTTCTGGTCACCTTCCTCCTCCCTGCAGGGTGGGGAGGGGGAAGGGGGGTTAGGGTATTTTTACGGCTCTGAGCAAATTTACTACCTGGGCCTCCTTCCAGGAAGTGGTTCAATCCCTTTAAACCTGCCAGAATCTAGCTGTGCTATTTTATTTCCATTCGATGTCTGATCCATGGTTTCCCCAGCAGTTAGCAAGCCCAGTAAACAAAACCGTAACCTAAAAGGCTCCCAGCCCTCGCTGCACCCGCACGATTAACACCAATAATGCAGTGTGACCACACACCTTAAAAACAAACCATATATAGACAGACTATTCATAATGAACCGGCATGTCAATTTCCCAAATACACATAAATTAAATGTGTATGTCTAGCTTGAAGAATTTAAATATGTATAATCTTAAATAAATAACAGGCCACAGGTTCGTTGATCCTGAGGGCACTGAAATGCAGTTTTGATGTCAGGACATTATATTCATGTTTGAATCTTCATTCATAACTAAACATTTACGGAAATATTTGCGAAGAGCCCGATGTAGTTCCGTTTCCTTCCACTCACACGCAAATGGCGCTGTTTCAATATGTTATACTACGTGCAAACATAAAATTATGAATGAATGAATGAATGAATGAATTACGTGACTGCTGAAATCGATAATGTATACATTCACAAAATTTTAAACAGTCACTTACATGTATAGGCTGCATGATTAAAGGACAAAAACATTAATGCGAAAGAAAGAAAGCCAGTTAATTTTTTTTTGTTTAACAATTTATAAAAATCTTCGTCACCAGCAGCTGAAGGATGATGGGGCAGATGGCAATGAATTGCACGCTCAGTTTCTCTAACATTCAGTTCAGACAGTCGGAGCCAAGAGAACAAATGAGATTTACTAGCACGCCTAACCCTCACTTCAATCTGAACTACTGCAAATGATTTAAAAAGAGCTGAACACACACATGCTCAAACACACAGGCTTCTTTAACAAAGAATCCCTGTCCTCGATTCAATGAGACCAGCAAGGAAGAAGCAGAACTATCAATGTATCATGCCGTAACCCAGAAAATAAAGTCACGCTGCAACAGACTTCAGAAAGAGCCACTGAAATTGAAGAGCGAAGCAGAGGTGGGTGACAGTCTCGGTCCCTACTTACACAAAAATCCTTCTGTGGAGGAACCAGTACTTGCGGCCATTGCGGTCGAAGCCGATGGGCTCTTGGCGCACGTAAGGCCTGATCTGCTGGCTGCTGGCCACACAATCAGACACACCGGGCACCTGGTGAGCCTTGCACACCTCGCACTGCCACTCCCCGGCCGGCACGGCCTCCAGCGGCGGCTGCACGCACTCCAGGTGGTAGACGGCCGAGCAGGTCTCGCAGCAGAGCAGGTCACCAAGCCGGTGGCAGGACCGGCAGTGGTCGTCGTACTGCACGGTGCCCTCCGACATCAACTCCTCGCGGGCCACGTTGGTGGTCAGGAACTGGTCGGCCAGGAACTGCAGCACCTGAAGCTTGCTCTCCAGGGGCCCGTAGGGGTAGTCCTCCACCTCCTGGTAGGGCAGCACGTGTCGGTACTCAGCATCACTCTCGCAGTAGGCGCGCACCACCTCTGGCCACGTCATGCCGTCGATGAAGTAGAGTGTAGAGTTGACGCTGTCCTTCAGGTCCGTCGGGCCGAAGGTGGTACCGGAGCCGTCCTCCTCACGCAGGATGGCCCTGAGTAGGGCGATGTGCGTCTCAGCCAGCAGAGTACACTGTTCTGGGCCTGCCAGCGCCGCACAGAAGTCCTCAAAGCGAAACGGCGTCAGTCGCAGCACACTGCCAAAGTTACGCAGCACCTCGTAGATGGCCGCCACTGTCATCAGGTGCTCGGCAGGGACCAGCAGGTCCTCGGAGCACCTGGGCAGCTCCAGCGGGGGAACCTCCTCCTTCTCCTCAAAGACGGGGGGGTGGGGACGGAGGACCCGGGCCCTCCTGCGCCCTGCAAGAGGACAGAACAAAAGTGAGCATGAGACAAGGATGAAACTGTGTTAACAATGAGAACACGCAGTGTTACTGCCTCTGGCAGAGGAATCACCTCCCCAAGACGAGAAAGTCCACCTCCTTGGCAACAAAGGAGACTGAAGGCAAGTAAATAGCAAAATGAGGATAATGAAGAGAAAAATAACTGAAATGTGAAATCTCAGTTCAAGTCCCACAAGTGCCCTGTATGAGCCAAATTACTCAACTCAAATATCCAGCAGTATAAGTATTATTCTGTTCCATTAACATAATAATAATAATAATAATAATAATAATAAATAATAATAATAAATAATAATAGAGACGTCACGCCAAATGAGCCTCCTTCTGAACGTGACAGATATTCTGGAGTTCATGTAATACAATACGACCACGTTAAGCTGAAATACGACATCTAAATTATTAGCAAAATAAAACGACTCCTATCGGAATAACAATAAATCTTCAGACGACCAGGTTCGTCCAATATCTAAAATATTACGTGACATCTAAAACCGTTTTTTGCAAGATTCAAATCATAATTCCTCCTGGGAAATTATATAAATATATATTTTTATTGTACATGTTTGTATTCCTTAATAAACGTATCACGGGGTGCCTAAGACTTACGTGCCGGTTAAACCCCGACTTGGTAACAGGTGAATGGCGGCGGCGGCTCTTTCAAAACACCGGACCGCAGGTCCCCCTGTCACTTACACCCCCAATGAAGCAGGCTACTACGGCAGCTCCCAAAACACAGCCCACATCTCGCTTTTATACACCTAAAATAAAGCTGCGGCTAACTGTACGCTGCAAATCACAAAATAAAAATATAATAATTTGACAGCGTAGCACCGTATCCTCAGATACACCGAGAACTTGACAGCCAAGTTAGCCAACTTCTGCCGTGCTTTGTTCATCCTCTCGTTCCTTAAAACCACACACATACCATCTCGTGCACGCTTCGCGATCCGTCTCTAGTAGCAATTCCCGCAATTCAATGCAAGGGATTTTAACTACTGGAACATAATAAATATAATTTCCAGGATTGCCGGCTGATCAACAAAAAGCGAGCGGGTCTGCTAGCTTTAGGCAAACGCAAAGTTCACCCGGTCGGCACATTTCCATTTTCTGGAAAACGTCACGAGCAGATGCAAGCCCACCCAAATATACGATGGGGGCTTAAGATCATTAAAATGTGAAAGCGATTCATGCGAGGGTAAAGAGCCGGGCGGTGCACCGCGGTGCCCAGTCCATCTCCAAGCCGGGGCCTGCTGCCTCCACAGCGCATTCTCCATTTTGGACAAAGCTGCTTCCTGCAAAGCTTCAGCTCCATGCACGGTGCTCCGACATCCCCTCGCCACTTTCGACGGCCCGCGTCTCCGATCGCTGTCACCGCCGTAGCGTAACTTACCGGGCGTGCTGCCGTACGTGCTGTGGCTCCGAAAGCTGCTGTCCGTGCAGTAGCTCGCATCGTCATCATAATCATCATCGTCCTGTAGCTCCTCCAGATAATCAGACTGCTCGTCCAGGGCCTCCAGCTCATCGTCCGTCGTCGCCTCTCCGATTAAATCGTCCTCCTCCGACCTCAGACTCCCCGCGTCCTCCTCTTCATCACTTTCGTGGTCATCGTAGACCACCTTGCTAAAAGTCCGTGCCCCCCTGCCTCCACCTCTCCTGGCACCCCGACCTCTTCCCCTTCCCCTACCTCTACCCCTACCCCGTGATGCCGAGGTTGATCCCACTTTCCTCCTGCCACGCGATGAATGGTAATTTCCCCTCCTGGGAGTCACAAAATCGCCATCATCAATACCTCTCCCCTTTGCCCTTAACCCCCGTCTGGGTCTCAGACCACGGACTGGCCCGGAGGAGCGTTCATGCGTCAGCGCCTGTTTAGGCGGCCTGCCTCTTCTTCCCCTCATTATATATAAAGAAATCTATTATTTTCCGTTTCAAATGGTATGCGCAACTGGTTCACGCAAACCCCGGGAAAACGGCACCCGTTGAAAGCTGAACCTCTGCAGATGTGGAAGCAATAGTTCCCCCAAGCCCCGGACTCACTTAGTATGAGAAAGCTCAAAGTGAATAGGCAACGTCCCGCTCCGGATCGCCCGTGGCCGCCATGTTTCCTCCTCTCTCCGGTTACTGAAACAGACAGAAGGCCCTTCGCCAGAGTCACGTGACCGCCGCTCTCAGCGCTGAGAGGCAGCTGCATACGAGAAAATGTTCACGTTGTCTAAGTTGATGATTTCGCTGTGCGTTCGGAATGTAAACGCGTATTTCATAAAGCGTTGCATAGGAACTGAGCATGTTTATTACGAGCCTGCATTTCCTAAACGTATAAGAGAAGCTATTCAACCGGACTTTTCCTGTATTCTGCGTTAAAGCCACGGAGTTTTGAAAAACAAGTTATGTACCATATCACTTTCGACCATTGTAATAGACTCAAACAATTTTTTAAACAAAATGATGTATTCAGTAAACAGTCATTACGGAAAATATGTGTAGTCTTCGGAATAGGTATTCTTCTCGTTGTAGTCGTGGCCGAGTGGTTAAGGCGATGGACTAGAAATCCATTGGGGTCTCCCCGCGCAGGTTCGAATCCTGCCGACTACGACTTTATTGTTTTTTGTGGAAATTGTTGGTTTTAGAGTTGTGTAAATAATAATAGCAATCTGTTGCTAATGTCAAACCAAAATATTTGTTTTTATGTTGACTGTTTGGATCATCTTTTCTAATTTAAAGAATGTTGGTCTTTGAAATAGCTTACATCTACTGTTCTTAATAATTTGATGTTTTACGTAAATAAAAGGCCTACCCAATGTAGCTGAAGTTGAAATGATCAATTAAGCTTAAAGGAAATTCTTTTTAATAGAAAATAAAATCTGTACTTTCACTCTATTTGACACAAGGTGGCAATATGTGCAGAAGTAAAACATTTCTCACATTTAACTATAACCCTGACTATAACCCTAATCCTAACCTTGGTTCCGGATCGGGAAAAAGTCCAGCACTGGCTCCGGTAGGAATCGCCTAGGTGGAATCGAGGCACCTGTCAGCGTAGGTGCCCCTCTGGCCCTGTCCAATGTGCCTTTTGCCTGTTTGGCCAGCAGGTGTCGCTGGCCGTCCCATTTGGTGTTGCCCATGTGTGCTTCTCTGCTCCCTGGGCTGCTGCATGGCTCTGTGACCCTATTATTCAAATCACGGTCCTCGAGGGCCGAGCACTGCTGGTTTTCCAGCCTTCCTTTACCTGTGAGCCAGGTGTGAAGCCTCTGGCCAATCAGAATCAGTAATTATTAAACTAACTACCTGGGAGAGACACGAGAGTCTGGATGCAGAAGGGGCCTGAGAGTGCATGTCCTCTGTCAGGCCCCCATCCACTCTCAAGCCCCTACGTCATTTCCGTTAAAACGACAGAATCCGTCTTGTCACGATAGATTACGACTTGCTGACTGCCGCTACAGAATCAATCTTGTCCCGCATATAATTCTTAAAACGCGGCATGTATGGCTTAACAGTTTAGAAATTAATCATCACATCGAAATACGCGTGTGTCGAACTCCTCTCCTTACTACAGGCAACTCGTCCTAAGTCCTAAGACTAGTGCTCAGTCACATAATAAAGTCAGCCAAAGTCTGTTATACTGTATTCTGTTGGGTTTGAAAAATAAACAGCTTTCCTTTTGCTGCATTGTGAGGAAAAAGCATTTTTATTAAAAACAACATAGTTTGTATATAACTAGAATAGTAGTCTTTCTTGTAGAAATTTAAATGAATTCTCATTGGCTCCTTACAAAAGAATGCTAAACATTGTAAAAATATTGTATTATGGCCAGTACCAAAGCACAACTATTATATTTATTGGCAAACGTTTATTTAAATTAGGCAATTGTACAACTGTTGCAATTTCACATTATATTATTGTCTTCACAATATAATTAATCGTTTTGGGTTTTTTTTAATTAAAAATGACTGGGGGGGTTGTATCAGTTCCCACCTACGCACGCACGCACACAGCCACCCAGTTCGCGTCCGTACTCACCAGAAGTAAAACCTATTGGAAGGAACTAGAGCGCGTTGAACAATCTCACTAGTCCTCCACCGTTGCACTCGTCGCTGGGAATTGCTCCTGAAGATCGCCACCGCAAGCCACTCGCAGCTTGAACGTCAAACCTATTCCAATCGTCCTTCCTGTCGCTCCCGCCGCTGTGGCGTCTTTATCTCAAGTCCTGCCAGTCCCATAGCTCAATAACATTGGGCATACCTGTCACGGGAACTCACACACACCCATGCATGTGCACCTACTGTATGGTGCCACCCCCACATTAAAACAAAAATATTGCCATTTGCTGGTTTGTTTGCAACCCCCTCCCGCATATAGTCACTCCCTGTGTACAATTCCCTATTAACAACGCTATACAAACATTTAAATGCTGACATTATTAAAGTACGATATTTCACGGAATAAACATGTCACAAGAAAATAATTATTAAAAGTACATATTAGCTCCAGTCTGATGTCTCACAATAATAACACATACAATAGCAGTATATTTATTTATACACATATATACAACGGTATTGTTCCGGTTTGAGACGGAGTCAATCGTTTAAACGGAAATTACGTATTGAGATTTGGGAAATGACGTAGGGGCTTGAGAGTGGATGGGGCCTGACAGAGGACACGCACTCTCAGGCCCCTTAAGCAGCCAAGGCCTGGATTTGTAATCGTGGTTCAGATTTGAAGAACCCTGCTCTATGGGGTAAACATGCAGCACAGAGGCAGACATATTTCCATCATGAGTTTGAGGCCAGTCTCACCTTTTGTTTAATATTTTGCCTTTATTTTATCCCCCGGTGCCTGGTATTTTTAATGTCTTTGCTTTTGTGTCCTTGTTAACGGTTACCCAGCCCATGATCTTCTTAATATTACATTTTGTGTTCCTAGTCTCTCCTTGTGTAAATTACCTTCAGTGTTTGTTAATGTCTCCAAGTTGCTAGTGTCTGTTAATTGTAATATAACCCACGTGTTCCTTGTTGCCCTGAGTCCTTAGTGATTGGTTGACTTGGTTATGGTTATAAGAATTTAAATGTTGAAAAATTCTCACACAATGTGATTTTGTAGTGCTTTACATAAAAAGTACCACACAGCAATACAACACTGTGCAGTGCAATGCAAGAAGTGTCTCAAACCTTTCAAGTTTATAATTTAATTACATAGAACTTGTGAGCAAAAAACACAACAGCCTGACACACTGCATCAAGATTTTGGTTTTATTCTCTTTATTGATTCAATTAAAAAAATCACACAACATTGAAGTAAATAAAATCACAGTGATTCTAATTGTAAAACACCAAACAAAAAGAAAATGTCAACATTAAGAATAGAAAATAAGGCTCCTATTGTGCTGAGTGGCATTGGGGCTTGTCAAGGTTTATGGTTTGATGACATCTGACTGCACTTTTAGGTCTAATTATAAGCTCTGCACGTACGTTGGTTGGGGATAAAATTATCTCATAACTGAACATAGTGGGTAAGTCGCGTTTCTTTTTAAGTCAGTCGTCTAGAGGGAGATTCAGAATAATTAATATTAAAGTCGAACTTCAATAGTTTCAAGAATCAATCCACAACGTGAATTACATTTCTAGAAGTAAATAACCAGCGATTTTCCCGGGCAGAATACATGCAACTGGCAACATGATATAACACTCTGTTCTACTTTAAGGTTCACTGTGATGGAAAATTAATATCTTGTTTTAGAATTACTAGCAGGTGGACACCGTGCTATAAGAATGAGCATCTGTTGTCCTTTGAACAGACACATGAAACACGTTAAAGACCAAGCTCTTTGCATGGTTTAGCATAGCTTCGGGAAAAAAAAAAACAGTCCTTAAGGGGAAATTTAAACCGGAGCCTCGTCACAGTCCTTGCCTATAAAAAACACATTTAAAATAGTACTGTAAAGAGTTTAAAACATTTTTATCAATTTCAAAGCACAACAGTAACTAAAATTAAGAACATATTCTAAATCAGAAACACATTACATCACAAAAAACAAAACTATACCACCTAATACACAAACTCAAAGTAATTGTCAGAATTTGCAGCCTCCTTTTGCAACTATTCTTTAGTGTTTTGTTATATATATATTTTTATTATTATTTTTTTTTTCCCAACCAAGTCATAATCACACTAATGACAGCTGCGGCCTGTATCACAGCACGGGGTTTCTTGCTTAGCCAGATAACTTGTTGGATTTAAGGTGCCCCATTTTAAATGGCCTTTATCTTTGTTCACTTACATTTCGCCCAGGCTACCTTAAATCCGACAAGCTATCTGGCTAGGCAAGAAATCCTGGTTTGGGATAAAGGCCCCTGATGGTACCATACAGTTAAATATTTTGACTGAAACAAGCTGAACAAGAATGATCCGAGATAGAGGTTTGTTTTCGTTAATCCAGTTTGAACAAGAAATCCCTGATTTTAAATTCATGCCCACAGTCTTATAAGAAATGTTATCGCTACTGAAATCTCTTCCTCAGATTGTGGATCTTTATGGAAATTTAGAACTTATGGCTGAATAGGTGTGAGGAAAAATAAGAATTTACTTAAAAGCACAAAAGGTGAACGTCAGGCTTAAGTATTTAACCGATCAGTAAAAACACTGAAAGCTGATGTCCGTTCACTCCAGCTGACTCCTTCACATGTGCCAGAAGCATTCACAGTAAGTACTGCCCTGCACGCATTTTATTGGCTGGGTTAGTTTCCAGTGAAATATCTAGATACTTAATGATCGATTTTAGTCCTTGAAGTTAATGATGGTGATTATAACACAATACAAATTTGGTACAGACTCATTTTCAGTGAAGGTGAAGGTTACACCTGCTGGTATGGTTGACCTGCTGGTAAGGTTGACGATCATCAAACCTCTTTACAAATGCCCAGCTTAGTTCCACACATAGACAGACCCTATTAGATAGCAGTTAAAACCACTGAACGGATGGCATATTAACACTTGCTCTCCTGGGCCCTGTATCACAAAGCCGGATTTCTTGCTTAGCTAAATAACTTGTTGGATTTAAGGTGCCTCAGTTTAAATGACCTTTATTTTTGTTCACTCACGTTTAGCCCAGACTACCTTAAATCCGACAAGCTATCCGGCTAAGCAAGAAATCCGACTTTGTGATACAGGCCCCTGATCTGTACGACAAACATCAAGCCAAACAAATACCATGCAGAGGCACTGATGGGAATATTAGGCTGCTCAGCACAGACAGACTCTCCTCATCACAGCCAAATAAATGGCTTTTTCCACTTATGGTTTCAGGTGTCATTTTTTACATATATACATTATGAATGAAACGTCTCTCACTCTATAAAGTTAATAAAGTCTGAACAGCAGACAAACTGACATTATGTGGATTTTCTTCAGGCAAATGAAACACACAGATAAGCACCTTCAATCCTGTCACACCATACGCACCAAGAGGCATCTGATTGACCTTCTTCTCATTCATTCTGCTCATGATGTGCAAATAAGCGAGATGACTGGACTAACACATAACTATCAGTGACACGTATGAGGAAAGATACTGCTGCTGTCCTTTTTAAACACATCGCACTAAGTGAGCCCGTGGATCTCCTAAGGGGGGGCCCAGGTCAGTAGCCATGCTGTATTAAATGTGAAGGTTTTGGCCCCCCAGCGATACCGCATGGCTTTCTATAAACATTTACTTTTTTGGTATAGCAAGATTTATTATACTCTAATTATTATGTGAAATTTTTTGACTAGGAGCGCAATGCAAACTCGGCCAGCAGGTGGCATGGTGATTAAGGAGCCTCGGAATAAGGGAACATGTGACCTGACCGTTTTAGGTTCTACGCCCCGGAGGGATCCTGATTTTTCACTTGTTAGCAGGGTATTTAACCTGCACTAACAGCTGATTGGTTAGGTGGTTACATTTAAAGGTCTTTAGTGTTGGAGGGTCTGAGATTGGGCCTTGGTGGTGGGGGGGGTGTTCACTGATTTCGTCACTCAGGCTGTGCAGGGGGAGGGGCATGCCAGGGGAAGAAGCTGGGCAGCCGGTAGCCTGAGCCTCGGCGCTCGGGCAGCGTCAGCGTGAGTGTCTCCGGCGCCGATTTCTTGCGTGGGCGGTCGCGGGGCACGGACAGCAGCTCGGGCGCCTCAGTGGACAGCGGCGTGGAAGGGGCACTGGAAGGCCCCCCCCGGCTGGGAGATGCCAGCTCCATCTCGCTGATGGAGATCGCCGGCGGGAAGGAGCCCAGCTTCTGGTTGGTGGCCTCCTGGGTGGCGCGTTCGTACTCCCTCACCTCCTCCATCGTCATGTCTTCATAGTGATGCAAGCAGGGAGAGATGGGCCTGTTAGTGCAGCTCACCGATTGGCTAAAACCCTGGACATGTGACCAACGTGGTGACCTTCTGGCTTCACAGAATGAAGATGGGAAATATCTACACTGAGTGAGATGGTGGGGGGGGGGGGAGGCAGAAGCTGGTTAATTGTGACATTCATGGAATAACCAGGGTGAAGGACAGCAAAGCTCATATGTCGTCTTTGGTGGAGGTTTGTAAACAAAAGCATAGACTTCAGGTCTAGGCTTAGCATTAGCTATAGTGTTGTACCACTGGAACAACAACACGCATAAGTAAAAGATGTTTGAGGTTCCTGTCTCTTTTCTGGACAGGACTAAGTCACCGTTCTTGACTGCTGTGCCCTCCTTCCTGTGGCACAGAGGACGGTGTGAGATATGATGGTGCAGGCACATACCCCTTGGGGGACATAAGGGGCGAGGTAAAGATGATAGAAAAAGTCTGGTGGCAATTAAGTCAGCAGTTCAAGAGGAAGCGTCTATTCGCCCAAACGGGCACACATGCTTTAGCACAGATGGGGTCTGTCACGAGAGACGGTCCCTCACGGGTCGTCCGGCACCGCATGCACTATTCACAGGGGCGGGGAGTGTATGCACAGCCAGCCGTCCCCTTCCCTTATCCCGGCCCTCCTCCCGGGCAACGACAAGGAAACCATGGTTACCAGCAGCCCACATGGTGGCGATCGCCCCCTGCTGGTGAGTGGTGATCCATCACACATCCTCTTTGTTTCCTGCCTTTATACAGTCTGTGCTGTGTTTCTCGTATACATATGCTGGATTATTTCAAGACAGATAATATAAAGACTGTAGAAGATTTAGTTTTTACCCCAAATTTTGTGGCCACCAGGCCATTACATGTTTTTCATCTGATTGACTACATATTAAGAAAATGAAATCACTGTCAGAGGTAATTCTTTTTCTAAAATGCAATGTCTTTCACCTTTTATAAACGTATTACACCCATTTCTCCCTGTTTGCCTTTTGCAGTACTGTCGTGCCTGAATATCTGGCGATCCTGGGTTCATGCCGTTGGTTCTCTGTTGTAACTGGGCCCCGTTGTATGTGGTAGATGACCGGTTGGCTTGTGCCATTCTGGGACAGGCATTCTCCTGGGACTGCTCGCTGCAATGTCTTAGACGACCTTAGGAATGATTATCCAGAGGCAACAGTAGAGAACTCGGGCCTGGAAACTACTTTTCTGATGCATAAAGAGGCACGTATTGAGTTCAAGAGCCTAGCGGACCAGCTCATGTGATCTGAAATGCTTTAGTAAATCCAGCTGCATAAACAGCACTGTTCTGAGAGGCGCTTTGGGTAAAAGGCATCTGCTATGCAAATTATTAGATAAAAAAGCAAAAACTGATTATGTGAGTGGAGATTTATCATAAGGGGTCACATTGACTCTGGACGTTCTGGACGTTGTCACTCTTCTCCATATGGTGCTCCATGATTACTCATTTCTACGGCAGATCGATAGCCAGAAATAAATTTCATGGGGTGTTCAGCAATCCTACCAATAGGACCCCTTTGCTGGATTTTCCCCAGCCGTGGGGAAAAATTCAAACCTGTAATTTTACTTTCTGTCTCTGCTACTGTTGGGAGAGACAAACACAGCAGGGCTACAGCGAGAGAATCAAGACTGGTGAGTTTTTAATGTAAAACCCACCTCCCTTCAGGGGCTAAAGTTTTGATTCATTTTATATATAATACTATGATGAAGGCTTCTGGGGATATAAGGACACATTGATCATTCAATGCAGGCAAGTTTCCAGGAAAATCATTACAAACTAGACTTTAAACTTTAAATGCATTCTTCAAGGTCACCGCTTGAAGCAACAGCACAAGCATCCTTCGACATTAATGTCCACAGCCTGAAAATGAACACGCTACTTTCAGTCGAAATGCAAAGTGGGTCTTCGCAGTTAATGAAATGCAGAGTCTATGAAAATTCCTCCACCGGTTTCCCAACCGTTTGTCCTGCGCGGAGGTCAAGAGGGATGCGTGCACTCTACAGGAGGGAACCTGTGCAAGACTCACGAGACACCGTGCCGCCATATGCTAATTCTCGCTAATGCTAATTCAAGCCACTTATCGCAGCAGGTTTAGCAAAGAGCACGCTGATCCCTATCACGATGTGAGACAGCTCACTCTTGGAGAGATTGTGCTGGTCTCTTTGATGCGTGGGAAACGAGTGTTATACTTGACCTTTCTTGATTGCCCGCTTGTTCAAAAGTGACATGCTAACAGACAGCACAATACACCCAGACCATGAAGGTTACGCTGCCGTTCCAATGACAGACAATGTTCTGGTACACTGAGGATGTAACAGCGGTCATCCTGTCTCAGTCCCTAGACTGCAGCACCACCCATGTATGTGTGCAGTATGAGGGATGTGTCAGGTCGGGGTGACACGAAGGAGCTCCAGCACTGTGAGAGAAACTCACCGATCCACTCGTCCACCCAGGCGAAGGCCTGCCTGTGTCCCAGCAAGAGGACATCGCGGACGACCTGTAGGGGGAAGCAGGCATCAAGGGCTGAGTGAGATGGGGGCGTGGCCTCTAGCAGGCTCATGGTGGAGCGTCCAATCCCGGGGCTGTTCGTACTGATTACCTCCACCCTCGCCCTGTTCTCTGCAATATGTATAAATCGCAGTGCTCTGCTTTGTATTGACCAAGATAGCCCAGATACCTGTTGACACCAATCCCCAGACCCGTAATCACCTCAACCACAATCATTTCCTTTGTTCAGCCCTGATACCACGGTAAAGCAGTTGATGTATGATTCCCAGGTCTCTCTTTCCGTTTGTGGTGTGTCAGCCCTGCCCCACCCTGCCTCCATCTCCGCTTTCACAGGTCGCCCTCCCCCCTGTCAAGGCCCCGGTCCTGTGGCTCTGGCTGCTGCTCCAACCAGAGACTTTCAGGCATTTTTTTATGTTCTGTTAAAAATTCACATATACTGTAAGAATAGATGAGCAATGTTCAATAGTGTGGTGAATGCAATTCCTGTCAGGCAATACTGGGTAAATGGCTGCATGGATGTAGGAATGATGTCAAAAGTCAGCTAGGGGGGGTGCAACAAAAATAAATAACAATAATATACTAGTGTTGTTAGTGGAAAATACTGGCCTGAATGTTTTTTAGAAGGTGGACTGGATTTGACCGGCAAACCTGCACATGTGCAGCGTGAAACTACTGTTAAGGAGAGGGAAAGTAGGGGGGGGGGGGCAAAATCTACACTTCTAAAAAGTGGAGGGGGCCCTCCCCCCCATTGCAGTTATGCTGATGAGTGGCTGGAAGATAGATGGATATGACGTATGACTTGCGCAACTCACTCAATACAGTTTACACAGTTTACACAGATTACACAGTTTACACAGATTACACAGTTTACACATTGCTGAACTTATTTACTGTTCGTCTTCAGCCACTGTGTATCCCACCCTGTTCTGTGGCTTATTGTCCACATACGTACAGCGCAGATTCTAGGCTCTCACCCTGAAAGTGGCTCAGAAGTTTCTCTTCTACTGGATGTTGATTTTTCAGGGGGGCTGAGACAAATAATTGGTTGCCTAACCACCCCCCCCCCCCCCCCCCCCCAAATAGGGTCGAGAATGGCCTATGCATACATTCATGTATATAAACTCCTGTGCCCAGCCCTCCTGTTCTGCACTGTCCTGTGTATTTGCACTCTAAGCCCTGTGAAAATGTCAGTGCTGTTTGTTTGTCCTGGGGATGGCTATTCTGTGCCTGTACACCTGCATATGGATACATTGACAATAATGCCCACTTGACTTGAGCTGACTTCACATCTCAGCTGAAGCTTGCTAGAGCTGAAGTGGCCTGGCAGCCAGCGCAGTCAGCACAGCCAGCACAGTCAGCACAGCCAGCACAGCCAGCGAGCCACGAGCAGAGGGGCTGGGAAGAGCAGGCCTGCATTTTAATGTGTCCGCGGTTCGGATCGGCGCTCTGCTCTCTGGTCCTCCGGAGGCCGTACCTTGTGCACAAACTGCTCCACGCGGTTCTGGAGCCCCCACACCTCGAACCTGACGCCCACCAGCTTGTAGGAGCACATGATGGGGCAGTGTGTGTCCCGCCAGCCCTCCGTCAGGGGACCCCGCGACGTCTTCTCTGAGTGGAAGCAGTGCAGGTCCTGGGGGGGAGCAGGGCTTTGGCAGTGAACACCCCCGCAGGAGTCCAAGCAATGCAGCTGAATTACTTTAAATAATGCACTATTTCTACAGTATTTTTTTTTCTTTTGAAAGTAATTTGCGCTGAATTACACAGTTTTTGTTTTAAATTTTATTTTAAAACATACGCTTTATTCAGTGATTTCCGTTTGAATGCAAAATTTTACTTGAATTACTTTTTTTCATCTCGTTTCACTTGCTATTAATCAGTAAAGCTGCCGGATTCATCGCCTTGTTTTCCTGTAGTAGCTACAGCCTCTGACAGTATGTTGCAAACAAGACAATCTCTGCGCTTGCCGACCTGTTCAGGTTGACGAGGATGGCAGCGTAATCGCTCTCCCCTGCATGTCAACCCTTCAGTCTCACACTTGAGAATCATCTACTGCTCTTACTTACACAGAGATACTGAGGAGTGAGAGACAGGCATATGAGGGAAGACCCAACCTGGCTCAATATTACTGATAATGGAGGATGGGTCCTGAATCTCAGGTGTGCTGACAGAGGCTGTCCA